AGCTATCACTTTTGTTGGAAAAACGTGGGAAGAAGTATACACTCAGTCTGAAATAGGCATCAAAACGATTTTCAACTGGTTGAGTTCTAATTTATTGAGTGTCAATGTTGAAAAAACCAAATTTATTGCATTTGCTCCAACAACTAGAGATCAACCAGCTACAAACATCATAAAAATCCACAAAATATATTGTGCAAATGTTCCCAATTGTAGCTGTACTTCTTTCTATACAGAAAACGGATACAAAAAAATAATAATAATAACTTTATTCGTCTTTTCGATCATTTAAATGATATAAGACACGTCATAAATAAAAATATGAAAATTATATAAAGCAATAATAACGGTCCACATTATAACATGGACAGGTACTTAAGACAGGTACTTAACTATAAACATATAAAAATAAAACAAACACACATACACATACAACTATATATATACACATATATACATACAAATATACATACACATTTATACATACAAATATACATACACATATATACACACATACATACATAAATATACATAAAAGTAAATTTATCTTTAACTAGGATGAAAGAAATGCAGTGAAAGCAATAATCATGATAACAGTGTATTCCGTTCTAAGAATTCTTCTACGCTATAATATCCCTTATTAGTTGATAGCTCCTTTATTTGTTTTTCAAATGGTATAATATGCAAATATTTAACATCTTGAGGCAACGTATTGAATGATATTATGCCATTATATGCATGTGATTCTTTTAATGTCGATGTTTTAAGATTTGGGATAGTTAATAAATGTCTATTTCGTGTTGCATAGTTATGAACTATTGATTCATCTCTCAGATTGGTTACATTATTTTTCACATGGAGCAGAGCTTTATATATATAGAAACACGGTAACGTTAGCATCTTGTTTTTGTAGAAAGCAGGTCTACAGCTATCCCTGGGTGCACTATTAAAGATAGTTCTAATTATTCTTTTCTGAACAATAAAAACACGTTTTGCCCCCACAGAAGAACCCCACATTAATACATTTTGAGCCATATGTGAGTACGCCAATGAATAGTAAACAGTCCGGATACCATCTAAACTAAGCACGTCTTTGATCTGTTATATTGCAAGAAAACGCTTGATTAAATTTTTTGCAGTCAATCGATATGGGGCTCCCAAGACAAGGTTTTATCTATAAACATACCAAGGAGTTTGGCTGTTTCCGAGAGTTGGATGTTGGATGGGTTTCACTGTTTTCCTTAACGCGAAGCTTGAATGTACTGTTTTACTTTCGTTCAGTTTTAGTTGATTTCTATCACACCAAAAAATCATGTCATCCATAACTGAATTAATGTTATTTTCTAGCTCCGGAAACTGTTATGATAGTGTTATCTGCGAATAGGATAAAGAAACTTTGTTTTATATACTTCGGAAGATCATTTATATAGATAGAGAAAAGCAGTGGGCCTAAAATGGACTCCTGTGGTACCCCAAGGATAATATCTTGAATATCAGATACTGCATTATTCACAGTCACTACCATTTTTCTATCTTCCATAAAAGATTTCATCCATTCCAGAAGGACCCCTCTAATGCCAATGTTATATAACTTACTAACCATTATGTCACTATTTACTGAATCAAACGCGTTAGCCAAGTCAAATAATATTGAAACTACGTACTTCTCCTTATTGATTTCATTGTAAATAAACTCGAATTTTCTAGCAATAGCAGGTTCAACTGATCTAGCTTTTCTAAAACCATGTTGATGATCGGTTAGAATCTTGTATTTTTCGAGAAACGCAATAGTTCTATTTGCTACTATTTTTTCAATAACTTTAGATGGAATACTCAGTAATGATATTTGGCGATAGTTATCTATATCTTCATGTGAACCCTTTTTATGAATAGGAATGACTTTGGTTGTTTTGAAGACACTCCGAAACACGCCTTCCATTATAGGGTGATTGATAAGATTCAATAGAATTTCAAATATAGATGGAATGACATATTTCAGAACTTTTATTGTTATATCGTCTAGGCCACTCGATTTTTTATTTTTTAGTTCGGTTATTGTTGAAACTAGTTCGGTTCTAGCACTTCTTCAAAAAACATTTTCGTTAAATTCCGAGACCGTATGTGGTAGCGACATGTTCTGACCTACATGTCTTAACAGAGCTGCCGAGGCTGCTCTGGCAAAGTGGCAAGCAAAATTATTGGCAACTTCTGTTCCATCATTGATCCGGATACCATTTGCTTCAAGATGTCTTTTATTGTAAATTTTGGTTTTCCCTCTGAAACTCGTTTTGTGGGTTAGCACAACTATTACAGTGCTGAAAGAATGAATAATGGTGGTTTGAATCATTGTTCAGCAGTTAAGCTACTGGAAAATAATTCCATAAAAATCAAAAGATGAGTAGATAAGTACAATTTTGATCATTTCCACATTGAATTCAATTTAATAGCCACCGGTAGACAGCTGTTTCAGCCTATTGGGCATCGTCAGTACCGGGCAGGCTGTCCTCGATTGAAGACAAAATGTGAATAACCAAGAACAGTACTTAATAAAAAAATAACTGCATAAACGCAAGCGAGACATAAGTGGAACCAACTATTGGTGTGACACCCAAGTCAACTTGCTAGGATAGCTTCTCAAATTTCTGCTACCGCAGTTGTCAGTTGATTGGTCAAACCACCAACACTGAAACGGAGTGTTTCAAGATCTATGAGAGAATGTAGTTGAGGATAGTTACATATGTAGTTCTTAGGAGTAATTCTGGAGTTGAACGTCGAGCAGTCTTAGGAATTTTCTCTGAATTATTTCTCATATATGGCTTGCATTTGATGGGTTCCATACAGAAGATAATCTGTCAAGATGAGATCAAGAGGAGATCAAATGAGCATTTGATACATTTTACGATCAGGAAACATAGTGTAATGACATCATAGGTTGATAAGACGGCACCCTAAATCCTCAGCAAGTCAACAATTAGGAAAAATAATATTTTAATAACACCGTCCCACTTTCCTATGAGAAAATCCGGTTAAACACCCTCGAGAGACATTTCCCAACCCTCTCACCATTTACATGGCAAATTATTCGTGAAAAATGGTGAATCATTAATGCTAGTGACTGCGTTTTCCGCAACGCCAAATCGGTCCACAAATCTCCCAAATTTCCTTGTAAATCAAAACGTACTAATTACTAAGTGGTTCTTTTTAATTAGTAATAGTGATCGCAATTAGTATCGCGAAAGCATCGCCTTGCACGTTATTGTTTGGAACGCGCCACCTGAGGCCGAGTTCGTGATCTATGGCCGTCATCTGCTGCGGAAATGGATTCCAGATTGGGCCTCGGAGTGCTGAAGAGTTCTTGAAGAGAGAATTCAAACAGAAACTCACTCATCACGAGCGATGAGTTCCGGATGACGCGTGATGGAGTTCCTCAAGGTTCGGCACTCGGGCCGTAAGAAGTTATTGCATCATGAATTTCTGAAGACATTGTCGTTGCAGCCGTTTCGTACTAATGCTCATCACCGTCTATTTCCTGTGCTAATTGCTAGTTAATAGTTGAAAAAAAATAACAATATAATATTACCTACTTCTAGAAAAATAGACAATTTATATCTACGAGTCTGCTGATTATTGACATTAAATGCAAATGAGTTCAATAACGGTAAATATGTAACTTCCTGCTGTCCGTTTGAACTGAAATTCAATGTTCACGTCTATTAATTCTAGCAGGTTTGATTTTTGTCCTTTATTTTCTATATGTAATATGGCGTAGTTCATTTTGAAATCGTGGTTGTTCTCTAAAAAGTAGCAAGCATAGGTGGAAATGGTTTTCTTTAGACCAAAAACTTTCTTTATGTTCGAAGATTTTTGTTTTGAAATTTCTTGTAGTTCTTTCTATATGCTCTTCTGGTCACGGTCCACATGTTGATTTGTAGACCTTTGATTTGTTATCTTTGTCCATTTTTGACTTGTTGCTCTTTATCCAAGGAATTAGTAGTCATATGTTTTCTTCTGTTAGTATTTTCTTTATTTTATGTGATGATTACAGATAATTTATTCATCATTAAAGTTTTTTACACAATGGTACAAAACTTATCAGACTAGTCAAAACATATATTATTAAAACTCATAAAAACATTATAGAACTCACAAGAGGATATGAAAAACTCACAGACAATCTTTATATACATACAAAACTACTATTAGCATCAAACAGTGAGGTACTCCTCTATTGTATAAAACGTATTATCATTAAGGTAATTGAATAATGTTGTTTTGAAGGTATTCAAATTTTTTATCTCACCAAAGATCCTATTGAAACGGTTATAACATAGAATTCCTTGGTATTTCGGAGAATTCTGTTCCACACTAAGCTTAGAGAATGGTAAGCGAATGTCATTTTTATTACGTGTTTGGTGTTGGTGAATTTCACTACTTTTCATGTAGGTATCTTGCTCTTTTTCAATATTCATAATTAGAAGATAAATATAAAGTGATGGTAAAGTTAGAATTGACAATGCCTTGAAATGAGCTTTACAAGATACATTATTTCGAACTCCCATCATGCATCTTATGATTTTCTCCTGAGCAATGAATACTTTATCAATATGTGTTGAATTACCCCAGAAGATCAAGCCATATGTGACTGCCGATGACACTAGACCATGATGTGCCATTCTGAGAACCTCTGTAGATACTGTGTCCTTCAGTTGT